AAAGCTTGCAGAAAACTACAGCATGGAGACTGTCTGAAGGCTAGTTCTCTCCTAGTGAAATGTTACTTAGTTAAGCTTCTGAACCCTTAAATAGGGTTCCAGTACTCTTTCCAGGACTCTCATGTTCAGTCATCATTAGTTTTCCAAGTAACGATGCTACTAAGGCAGCATTTTGCCTCTGAGATATACTGGTCCCTAACTTTTAGCTCTCTGAAGGCTACTCTCAGTGCAAGCTGAGTCCTGCTTCATGCCATTAAAATTGTGACCATTTGCTGTGATTCCTGATTCCAAGCTATTACATATGTGATAATGACAGGAAATTTAATTCTCCACATGTATTACATGCACGAGGGAGAGGGGACACATGACACAGAGTTTTCAAATTCTGTGAAGGTTTTACAGCATGTTGCCATGTCATTACTGTTGGTTTAAGTGGAGTCGCACCACTGCAATCCCACACCATAATGAGAGGCTTCAAAGTAGTCTGAGGTTTTTTTTAGTTCAAGTGATAGTGTAAGAGGCTTATAATACTTCTGTCTCATAAGTTACAGAGTTCTCAACAAATTTGCTCTTAGAAATTTTAATAGCTGTGCTCCTTGGAGATTAGGATAGGTAACTGGCATAAGAGGATGCTTGCTCCACATTTTACTCATGACCCACTGTTTTGAGTTAGGATAGTTCATTGCCTTTGCTACTATTTCTCTTTCATCAAAACACGGGTGGCTAAATGTTCATAAGGATACTATAAAGTGTCTTACTACTTTAAGGTGCTTTGAAATGTAACATTTAGTCACAAAAGGGAGTGTACAATGAAATTACACACATTTGTGTATGATACTCTAGGGGAAAAAATATGTTAAGTCATTACACAAATTATTAAGAAGGGTGGCTTGTATTCAACATGTGCTGTCCCTTCTTCACAGTGACTACCAGCATAATACAGAACTTCCAATGAAAAATACAGATGAGATTACTTTTAAGTGATTGTATCACGTAAATTCCAAAATGCTGTTCCTTGTTTTTAACTACATTGAATTAAACCTGTGGAAGGCAGAAGTATTTCACACACTGATGCATGCATTCTTGTTCGTTGTCTTCCTGGAAAACTAGATCTAAAGGGCAGTCTTGCTTGCAGGCCTGTTTACCTAGTGTCTTGCCCATTCCCATGGCTAAGCGGATGTGGGGTAATTTTAGATGGCTTTTTATACGCTCAATTATGTCTGACAAGGAGACTGGCTCGCTCAGTGTGCACAGACGTCCCATTCCAGTGTGGGGAAGAAGAGGCTGAAAAGAAATTAAATTTACTGTGAGAAAGCTGACCCCAGAAGTTCACACTACTTTCCATATTGCACAAAGATTAGTATACTGGGCATTCAGGAA